AAGGCAGGAAGCACACTGCCGTGATGCCTTGATGAATAGACCCCTCGGGAAAGAAGCGCCTTTATAATGAAGTCACAAAAGAAATCTTCATAAATCCTCAGAAGCCCAGCGGCTTGCATGTGTGAGTGCAACTAAAATACTTCCAAAACGACCCTGCCAAAGGTAAATAAGGCCAATAGTAGGCAGAATTTTTATAAATCTGACTGCTGTGTCTCCAGGCACCATTCCTATAGTCATTTCTCTGTACACAGCCACACATGCACGCACACAGACATGCATAAACACATATGTGCATGCACACACTCTGTATCCATCACTGTTATGAACCCTGCTCCCATTTCTAGCTCCCAATGCCTCCTGCTTTTCCAATCAAAACAGAGAAAAAGAAATAATTGTCACTCTCCCTTGTTGATTGATCAATTGGGTTACTCTTGTGTTAATGAATTTGACCTTCTCAATCAGTGTTGCAATTTTAGGCCTTGAACTCTAACTGTGATAGATGACAGACTCTGAGAAAAGGAGAGAGGCGGGGTGATGGGAATCATACTTAACAGTATCATGACAACAGCCCTGAAGGTGAAACTGGTTCAGTCTTTTCAGCAAGAGTGGGGGACACTGATATGGGATCCATCTCTCTGTGAGCGCATATCACTTAGATATATTCCTTCTAGATGCCAGTTCCAGAAAAATGTCCCCAGTCTTACTTAGCTGGAGTCCTCAGGTGCTAACATTTAGACTTATTATCTGGGGGCTTTTTCCTGGAACCGGCATCAAAAGGGCACTGTCTCTCGATCTTCATTCCAGGAACCGGAGCTGCCTCAGAGGTAGTGAGACTTCACTGGTGAACAGCTTCCTTTCCTGTCCTTTGTCACTGTGGGTTGGTTTGCTGGGCCTGCCATAGCCACGTACCACAGACTGGTGGCTTAGACAACAGAAATTTATTTTCTCTCAGTTCTGGAGGCTGGGAGTCCAAGCTGAAGGCGTAAACAGGGTTCGTTTCTTCAGAGGCCTCTCTCCTTGGCTTGAAGATTGCCTTCTCTGTGTCTTCCCACAGTCTGTGCTCTGTAGCTGCCTGTGTCTTAATCTCCTCTTCTTATAAGGACACCAGTCATATTGAAATGGGGCCCACTCTAATGACTTTCTTTTAACTTAATCTCTTTAAAGACCCCGTCACTAAATTCAGTCACATTCTGAGCTACCAGGGGTTAGGACTTCAGCATACGAATTTGGGGAACCGCAATTCAACCCATACTGGCCTGCCACTCTCCCCTTACCCTGACGGGTGGCCTGGTCCCTTCACCTGCCCTAACTGCCTCATGCAGGGCAGGCTTGGCTGACCCAGGCTCCGGGTAACCAAACGGAAGAAAAGCCGAGGGTCAAAGCCAAGAAGCCTTCCAAAGCAGGAGGTAAGAAACTTCGCAAGCTGGAGAGGGTCCTCAGGTTCTAACACTTAGCTGGAAAGAGTCAGGCTGCCAGAGGGAGGAAGAGGGAGAAGGTTAAATCCAGATGACAAAAGAGGGTGGTCTGGGTCAGCACCAGAGCTGGCAGGCTCTGGTCCCTGGCTGCTTTCTAGATGTTTGTGGCAGCGAAACACTAAGATCACATGGACACAAAGGAGGAAACAGCAGACACCAAAGCCTATGTGAGGGTGGAGGCTGGAAGAAGGGAGAAGATCAAAAACTGCTATTGGATACTATGTTCATTTCCTGGGTGATGAAATAATCTGTACATCAAACTCCCACGACACACAGTTTACCTATGTAACAAGCCTGCACATGTACCCTGAACCTAAAATAAACGTTTTTGTAAAAAGAGAACCTGAGAGAGAATAGGCATTAACCCAGCCTTACACAATTTATCCAAAATCTGGGCATTCCCATCCTTTCCTTGCTGTCTCTAGCTTGTGATTCTATAATGTTACACACTTTGCTTTCTCTGTTCAAACCTTCTTTCTCCCCATAGTTACCTGGTGAGTTCGTCATCCTTTCAGATTTTACTAACACGTCACTTCTGGTGTAAAGGTTTCTTGACTCCGTATATTTTAGTTGTTCAGAGATCCAACTAAATTTTCATGAGAATAGAGACATGTCTTTGCACTGAGTCCCCACACTTGTAAATTCTCAGCAAATGTTTATTCAGTGAGTGTTTTCAACTGGGAAGATTAAAATCTTTGAACTCAGTTTACGTGCTCCTTCCTGTGTCCGCCGTCTTCTGCTTTATATGTAGGGAAGTACTTGGTATAATACATAGGTCAACAACTAAAATGCCTTCAGCAGTGTGAGCAGTTTAACGATTGTGAAGGCAGACTCTGGCACCTCATTGCTTGAACTTGAATATTGACTTCACTGTTTCTTGGCCTGGTGACCATTTCAGTTTGCTAGGGCTGCCGTCACGAAGTAGTACAGACTGAGTGGCTTAAAGAGAAATTTATTGTCTCACAGTTCAGGGGGTGAGAAGTCCTAGACTAAGGGATCAGCAGGTTGGTTCCCCTTGAGGACTGTTAAGGAGAATCTGTTCCAGGCCTCTCTCCCAGCTACTGGGAGATGACTGGAATCTTTGGCTTTCCTCAGCTTCTGCTGTATCACACTGAACCCTGCCTTCATCTTCACATGATGCACTCGCCATGTGTGTAGCTATCTCCAAATTTCCGCGTTTTGTAAAGACAAGAGGTATATTGTATTAGGGACCCACCAGACCCCAGTGCAACTTAACTAATTACATATACAACAACTCTATTTTCATGTAAGGTCACATTCTGCAGTCCTGGGGGTTAGGACTTCAACATAGGAATTTTGGGAGAACACAATTCATCCCAGTAATGGTGACCTTTGACACACTGCCTAGTTTTAGTTCCCATATCAGTAAAATAGAATAATAATATATCCTACCTTATGAGGTTGTTGAGCAATTAAGTGAATTAATATATAGAAAGCGCTTAAGATAGTACAAGGCACACGTAAGCCCTGCTTGGTATTAGCTGCTATTTCTGGTGTGTATATATCTGTCTCTTCCACTAACCTATCGTAGGTAGAGACTATACTTGGTCCTGTGTACAACAGTATTTCATCACATATAGTACAGCACATAGCAGAGCACCTTGTGCCTGATACACAATCTTTGATTAAATATAAGGCAGAGATAGTTCAGAGTGATACTGGGACAGGAACTGAAAGTCTGTCTGCATGTGTGAGGTAGTATATTTGGTATATTAGGCTTGGTCATCCCATTTATATAGTTAGATCCCAAAGGCTTCCCCTAGGAGGAATTTGAAACCACTCTTCTTTCTTGGTCTCTCCCTGAGGTTTCCTTGCTTCCTTAAAAATGTGTAGGGATTTGGTATTACATACACAAATGCTGTTTTGTCTTTGGGTATAGAGAGAGGATTCAGCTCATCTACCTTTAGTTATTGGTATAATTGGATGTGGCAGTTATGTGGTTCTTTCTCAATTGTGATATTATCAGTGCAAGGCAGGATAAAGAAAGGAAGAGCAATGTGATATTTCTTCCTCAGAGACCTGGGTGGGCCATCTGGCAATCTTTAAATCTGGGTGCCAGATTGAATAACATGTTTTGGGTGACTTTTTAAATGCATTATTCAGGGGAGATGTTGTTTTAACCTCTGCACTTCACACAAGTTTCTAGCTGATGGGAATCTTTTCTCCCCTTTACTTGAAAATTACATGGAACACAGACCAGTAGAGACTAATGAATCATCAGGAGAATTCCTCAGCTGGTCTGAATAGTACCTAATGATGGAAAAGGTGATTGAATCAATCTACATAAAGCAAGGGCAAGGAAACAATGTGCAATTGTTTATTCCCCAAATATATGAGACACAGTCTGGTTCCTGATTTGGCAACTCCTCTTGTTCCAAAAATAGGGGAGGTCATCTCCACATGGGAGTTCAAGTGGTGGAATGAGAAGCTGCACGGGGCACAGTGGGTTTGGCTTCTAGCCTTGACCGGTTTGCTCATTGGTTTCTTGAAATCAATAAGATATATCACTTCTCTGGGTCCCAGTTTCCCTTTTTGTACAATGCAATTGTTGAGCTATGACTACAATCTTTGAGGTCCTGCCTCTGCTTTTACTTCCTCTATATCACTGTGCAAACCTATAGATTCTTCTGTCTCCAGGATAAATACTTTTACTCTAGTTTCTGACAGCCCACCATTTAATTACTCTCTTGAAGCTCAGTGCCAATATCTGTGTTTTCTATATTTTATTGTCTCAAACTGAACTCAAGGTTTGAATGAGACCGTGATCTTGCTTTACAAGTAAATCAAATGAAACAAAGGACAGGTGAGGTCAACCCTATTTCTTAATTCTGAGAAATTGTCTTAATGACTCAGGAAAGAAGTATTTCCACATGAAAGAAAAGACTATTCATCATCATTATGCATGTGTGTTTTTTGTGAGGCCTTGGCATGAAACAGAAATTGATAGAAGGAAACATAAAAGGTGAAAAGCATGCCTGGACCTTCCCTTTAACTGAAGGCATTCTAGCCAGAAGACTAAGGTCACTGATAACTGACTGAAACAGAAGGGACTGTCAGAAGTGTATCAGCTGTTCACTTTTCAACCAGATCTTGTTTAAATGCTTTGAGGTGGTAACAAGTCAGTTAAGGGACTAACTGGCTAGTGATGAAATGATCTTTGGCACACTTAACCAAGGCAATGTGTTTTGATTATCTTGGAAGAAAGATGCTTTGTAAGGGTGCAGTGATCTGGGTCACTTTACCCAAATCATCACCAGATATTTCTCTGAAGCAAGAGGGGAGATGGATGTGGAGGAAATTCTGAAACCTCCAGTCTTGCTGAACAATCCCTGTAACACAAGTGGGGTGGCATGGAGAAAGGAGGACGCGCACATGCCAAGATCCAGGTTCTAAGAGCCCATGATTTTTGAGACTTGTAGTAAGTGTATTTTCATTCAGTCCTAGTTTCTTTTTAGAGCCTTGCTGCCTTAGTGTGCTTATTCTATTAATCCTAATGATATTTACCTCATAATGGAGTTCCATGTGAGTTAACCCTTCCTTAGATGGGTTTTCTCTTGTCATGAATATTTCCATCCACTCAGAGCACTGCTTGACCATTCAGAAAAATGATTTCAATTTCTTGTACTAGGTAGTTTTTTTCTTAAGAAGGGCCTAGAGAAAAGAAAATTCAGAATGCCTTAGTTATGTTTTTGTGGTGTGTGCATTTTATCGGTGCTTACTAAAGAGGAGCAATTCCATTTATTTAGCTGTGGTCTCCTCAGAGCTCCACAGAACTGGTTGCAGATTGGACTTCTAGATATTCGCATCACTGGTGGCCATTAAAGCCAGGGATGGGCTAATTAGCTGAATTGTACATTTGAGGAGAAATCATTTAAGAAGATGAAATATGTGAGGTTTGATAAAAACCAGAGTTTTTATACTTACATAACATTTGATGGAAAATAAAATCCAGATAACCCCAATTTCTTCATATTTAAATTGTCAAAACATTGCTTTGTCAGAATTGTTTCATAGACATACAGGTTTGTTTTTTTTTTCCCAACAAAGCTCCTCACTTTGTTTGGTCCTATCACCAGTTTACTTCATTATTTGTATAAGTTTGAAAACAGCAGGGTTAAACATATAATTTAGCAGTAATTTATATTGTCAAAAGCTCTAACTTCAACTAGTCCTTTGGTAAAAATTTTATATTCACATTAGCTCTAAGAAAAACCCAGTTGAGTCAAAAGCTTTGTAAAGTGATCCATTACTATAAAGAAACTGAGTAACCTTAATAGAATTGATTTGAATTTCAGTTTTCCTATCTAAAAAATGAAGATAATAATAATGCATCTCCTATAGTGTTGTGGGGTAGACATGAGATAATTAAGGGAACACATTTTGTGTTGGGAGGCTGAGGCAGGAAGATGGCTTCAGCCCAGCCCCGGGAGGTCAAGGCTGCAGTGAGCTGTGACTGTGCCACTGCACTCCAACCTCGGTGACAGAGTGAGACCATGTCTCCCCCCCCCCCCAAAAAAAAGTCATTATGAGTTCTCAAACCATATGGTTCTGTTAAGACTATCATGACTATCATGGGTAAGAGGCTTCTTTGGTTAGATAAGACACCCAGCATCTGTCCATTGGTTCAGCTGTATCTAACAGAAAACCCAAATTAACGCTGGCTTAAATGCATAAGGACTTTTTTTTTTTATCTCTTGTAAAAGAAGTCTGAAGGAGGGAGCCTAAGGCAATGTGGCAGCCCCACAAAATTCATAGACCCCCCAGCTTCCTGTTATGTTATCCTGGCGTACAGTATATGACTTTTCTGAAGGTCAGTTACCTCAGGATTCAAGATGGCTCTTGGAACTTTAGTCAACAAATTCATGTTCTGGGAAATAGGATAAAGAAAGGGAGGACCCAAAAATGTCTTCCCCTAGCTTTTGTTCCTCCTTTTAAGTAACCTTCATAGAAGTTCCTCCCAACAATGTATGCTATCTTGAAGGCCAGGACTGACTCAATAGACATACTTAGCTGCAGACAAGGCTAGGAATGCAGTATTTTAGTTAGTTCATTGTTGTCCCCAGTAATATAGGCATTTTATTAATAAGATAAAAGGCAAGAATGGGTGTTGGATGGGCAAGTAGTAGCAGCTGCCACACCAGGTATAAATTATTTTGGCTCTGGGTAAAGTGTAGAAAGGAGAACCTATGGTCTAGGAGAATTGCTGCCAGTGACTTAACCAACAGTCTACGTCCACACGCCCATTTCTGCTGGGAACTGATCGCTAATAATCTGGCTCACCTACCATAGGAAAAAAGAAGGGATAATAACTCATATCTATTGTGTGCTTATTATTTGATAAGTAATGTGTAATCATTTTGCATGCATTATTTCGTTAAAGCCTCAGAGTAAGTCGTAAAGTGGGTGCTAGTACTATTCCTATTTTACATGTATGGGAACTGAGGCTCTGTGGTTAATTAACTTGATCAAGATTGCTAGGAAGAGTGGAAGTAGAGACTTGAACTCAGGTTCTTTAGTCTCAGAAGCAAGTGCTCTACCACTGCACTGTGCTATGTCACACACACACACACACACACACACACACACACACACACACACACAAGAAGGGAAAAGGAAGAAAAAAGAGTCATAAAGAGGTAACAGAATAAATTAAATCCCTGAACTAAAATGAAAAATTGTATATTAAAATGCTAAAAGTTAATTTTTAAAAAGGTAAAATGATGACTCTTATACAAACATAAAATTAACATGTGTCAAATATTTTAATTAACTGAGTGAAACACTAGAATGCCAAATATGTTCAAAGGAGAATTCAATGAAATGCAGATATATGGACAATGAGGAATGCTGGAAAGAATTTTCAAATAGATACAAGACTGGTCTATTCATTGCGCAGTAATCAATTGCATTCCACCAGGCACAATTTCTTTCCATTTGGACTTTCTGTTATCGGTTTTACATACAGAGTAAAGGAACCAAAAGATAAAAATAGCCTGGAAAGCTGTGCTAGAAAGGACACTCAGTAACTTTTTGTCTAGTTCAAAGTTTTTCATAATTTAAAAGTTTTTTCTAGCATATCTAGATTATCCTCTCCCCACTGCCTGATATACCAGTGTTTAGGGGGTTGTAAGGAGTATATCAGAGATTGCTTTTTCCTACCTACCCTCCAATTTATCCACTACCAGAGGTCCAGCAGAGAGAGAGATAAGGTCAAAGAATGATCGTTTCTCTTTGAACTGTCCTAGTGTGTTGGTAATAACTTTCCAAACTAAGATGGAAAATTGGATTCCAATGGCTGTCATGTCATCTTTCATGAAGTAATTAACAAATGTGTGTTGGATGCCTTCAATATGCCAGAGGCTGCTAGATGGACAAAGTAGGCATGGTTCCTGCTGTCAGATACTTACAGTATACAGGGGAAAACTTACCTTCCAATAGAGGGCAAATATGCTGTTCAATATAACGTACAAATGTGCACTCCACCCAACCCTGTGAATTGCTTCTATGGATATTACGTATTGTTTTAGGGCTTACATTATAACTTGTTCAAAACATGCTTTCCAAGCATGGACAGCTTGTCTGCCTCATTGCTCTTCTTCCCCAATTGTTGAGCAGTTTGTAGCATCATCAGACAAAAAACACTATTGCATTAAAATTGCCAGTGTGGTTTTTTGCTGACGGCCAAACTATGAGTTTGGCAGCGTTCCCCTCCTAAAAGCTTCACATAACTTCCTTCTGTCACCTTTAGAGTTTCTGCAGTGATAAAGGGGCATCAACTTGCTCGGTACAGGGAAGCCTTCTGGACTCCTCAAACTTTGCCCTTAAATCGGCTCAAAGACAAACAGGGAGGGATGTTTCTGTCTTTGCCTCTCTTCCCCTCCTTTCCACTCTCTCATCTGTCATCCTCTGTGTCGTCCTCATTGCCCTACCTACTTAGTTCTCATTTGCAAAGTTTTTTTCTTTTTTTTTTTACACTCATCTCTCAGGCTGCTTCCTCCAGGGATCCATTTACTCTTTCTTGGCAGCAGATTTCGGAGGTCCCTGCCTTCTGCACACTGATAATTAAGAATCAGTGGGCCAAGAGGCATCTTGTGCAGTGCTGAGCAATTCCCCCTGAATTCCAGGCAGGAGGCAAGTGTATACTGAGGGAGGGAAAGGAAAGAGAGAGACAGCGACCACGACCACATCTGTTTCTTCCTTCAACCTTTCTCAGAAAGGAGCCAAGCCATAATGCTACTGTTGCCGATTGATAGTCATGAGCTCAACTGATTTAAACACTGATGATAAATATAGTCACTTTCCTTCAAGTCTGCCACTGCCTCTAGTATTTCCTTGTTTTGAACACTGACCTCTCTAGGACTCAGTTTCCTGATTTATAAAATGACAACATCGTAACAGGTAGTTAGCAAAGCACTTCAGCTTAAGCATTCTGTTTAAAATAAAGCTGTTGAGTTTTTTTAACAGTAAAGTTAATGTTGCTTTTTATAAATGTTTAAGCAGATGTTCAGAATTGCCGATTAAGGAGTAGGATTTGAAAGGAGAGAATAAAAGGATTGGTTAGGTATTCTGTTGTTTGGGAAGCTTTTGACTTTTTTCTTTTAAATGAAAGTAAATACCTGTATTTACTTTCAAGAGAATTGAACAACATAGGAAGGTCTAAAATTTAAAAAAAAAAAAGTCCCCCACCTACCCACTCCTGCCTGTCTACATTCTCCAGTGTTAACCATTCTGAGTTTATGTCTTTTTAGTTCTTCCATTGATTACTATGACTTTATGTCATAATGTATGTATTTCTGTTTTCTGAATTACCAACTTTGGATATATTGTTGACTCCTGAAAGAGAAACTTCCCTCTTCTGGTGTGACTCCCAATTTTGTTTGGTTATATTATTTCTAGGTTGTTAAGATATGGAATATATCACTGTCTTTGATGCTTTGTCTGTAGATTGCTTCTGAAAATCTAAGTCCCTAAAAAGTCATATTAAATATAATGATTATATAAATACTCTTCACTATGGAGCCAAGTTGATTCCTTGGACCCATAGGAAAGGAAATGTGATCCTTTTGTCACTGAACTCTTGCCATCCAAGATGAATGTTCTAGAGCTGGGCGCCGTGGCTCACGCCTGTAATCCCAACACTTTGGGAGGCTGAGGCAAACCAATCACTTGAGGTCAGGAGTTCAAGACCAGCCTGGCCAACAAGATGAAACCCCATCTCTACGAAAAATATAAAAATTAGCTGGGTATGGTGATGCACGCCTGTAGTCCCAGCTACTCGGAGGCTGAGGCAGGAGAATCGCTTGAAAATAGGAGGCGGAGGCTGTAGTAAGCCAAGATTGCGCCACTGCACTCCGGCCTGGGGTGATAGAGCAGGACTGTGTCTCAAAAAGAAAAAAAAAAAAGAAAAAGAAAAAAGTTCTGTATATCAAAAACAGATAAACCTTTTTCCTCTCAGATTGCATCCCTTCTTTCCCTTCATAGTCTGGTTACCACTGTTTCTTTTATATTTCTCTTTTCCTTATATGTTTCCTTGTATGTTGTCATTTGTCATATATGATTTTAAAATCTTTGAGGTTTTTTATGTGTGAAAATGTTTTATATTCCTTTATGATTTACAAATTTTTGACTGGGTATAGAATTGAAGCCTCAAA